AGGCCATTTCACAGAACAGGAGACTAAGGCCAAGACTGATGAAATGATTGTGCCCCAGATCATGCAGCCGGGATGTGCTGACGTTGGAAATGAAACTCAGGACTTTGGACTCCCTGCCCTGTGTTTCCTGTCCTGCAAAGGAACAGGGCATGACACAGAATGCTCCAGAGAACAAGAGCACAGACGAACCTCTGAAAACCCCAGAGGGGTCACAGCCTTGACCTCCCCTGCAGCCCTCAAAGGAAATGCTCAATAGATGCTCGCTGGCTGACCCTGGCACTTCAGAAGACACGGCTCTTGGTCACAGGGAATCTGACACCTGTTCTCTTTCTGCATCAGGGTAGAAAGAGCTGGAAGGTGGCTGACCCACTGGTTTTCTTCTGAAAAACAGGGAAGTCTCTTACCCTGAAGGATTTTTCATGAGGATTAATAAGGGACTGTGGGCACAATACAAATGTCAGATAATTAGGATTTCCAGACAGATAAGAAAAGAGCTTCATGGAGACTGAAATCACTTGAAGGCATCTCTCCAGCCCAGCAGCTAAGACCTCGGACCCAGGAGTCTAACAGGCCTGGCTCCCTCTGACTCCATGCTCTCTCCCCCACAGCCATGTGATCTTGGAGCCTCAGTCTCCTCATCTGCAAACGGGGCTGCTACTAATCATTTCACCTTCAAAGAGTCGTTATGCGGATTCAGAAAGGCACAGAAAGTGCCAGGCACAGTGCTGGCACACGGCAGCATTAAATACGTGGTAGCTGCTGTCGCTATTGCCACCGATACCATCGAGCCCACGTCCCAGCCTCTGATACAGGGCTCGGGAATTGCTGCTGAATTGAAGTCGACTATAGAGGGGTTCTGAATGCAGACATGTCGCTGCTCCATCCCCCCGGGCCTCCACCGGCTGATGGGAAGCAAGCAACGCTAACACACCTGCAGAAGCCATCAGGACGCCTGCAAGAAGAGACTTAGTAGGGGAAATAAATACAGCGGGAAGGAGCCCCGCAGCCGGTGATGACAGAGAAAGGAAAATGAGCCCAATTTCTACGGGCCATTAAATGTGATGAAAGGAGCTGGCCTCTGTGGAGGCTCTTGAGAGCTGACACACAGCAGTCACTTCATCAACCCAGGCTGCAGCTCCGGCTTCGGCTGCAGCCAGACTTCCTCAGAGGACACCTCCACCTTCTGCCGCCTAAGGTCTACCACTGCAGCCCCAGCAGTCTCTTCGCCCCCTTCCCAGCCGTACCCAGGACCACACTGGGCCAACTCAAGAGCCAGACTGCCTAGGTTTGCTCTGCAGCTCTGCCACTTACACAGTGCCACTTAACCTCTCTGTGCCAGAGTTTCTTCACCTGTAAAATGGGCATAATTATAGCACCTACCTAGAGGGCTGTTATAAAGATTAATAAGCTCATCCAGGAAAAAGAGCTCACAACAGGGCCTGGCCACTAGGTAATCGCTGGATCTGTGTTGTTAAATTATTAAAATTTTTAAACCCTCTAGTTCCTCTCATCTGAGTCTTTTGTCCCGATCCCTGGGCACTAGGCTTCTCCCACACGTTACCATCAAACATCATCAGGGGCTGGCCCAGTGGCACAGCAGTCAAGTGCGCACGTTCCGCTTCAGCAGCCCAGGGTTCCCGGGTGCAGACATGGCACCGCTTATCAAGCCATGCTGTGGTAGGCATCCCACATATAAAACAGAGGAAGATGGGCACGCATGTTAGCTCAGGGCCAGTCTTCCTCAGCAAAAAGAGGAGGATTGGCAGCAGATGTTAGCTCAGGGCTAATCTTCCTCAAAAAAATAAAATAAAATAAATCATCAAATCTTAGGGCTTGTTTTCAGAAAGGGAAACTTAGGCCCAGAGAACCCAAGGGACCACAGTGGCAGAGCCTGACTTGGACCCGGATTCACACGTGCCACCTCCATTGTGGCTGTAGCAGATGATCTGTCTGTGCCTTCTTTCCACTGTCTTGCCTTTGTCTGTCTCACAGCCTCTCCTCAGAATGCCCTTTCTCAACCTATCTTTCAAATGTTCAAATGGCACTTCTAGGAAGACCTTCCACCCCTGGAGCAAAATAAACCTTTCTCCTCTACGCTGGGGCATAATTCAATTTGACAACACAATAGCTGAACGCGTCCTCCTGGCACCTCCTCTGGCGCCTGGGGCACGAGGGGCGAATCAGACCCAGTTCCAGTCTTTGGGAAGCTCAGGCTAATCATCCGTATGGTCTCCTTTCCAAGCTACAACCTCCTCCAAGGTGTCGAGCCAGGCACCCGGCGGGCACCAAGGAACTGGGCTTAGATCTCCACGCTCAGGGCCCAGTCCTCCTCCCACCACCACTCTGCCTCCTCCAGTCACACTTCCAGAAATCTCCTGAGAGTACCTTCACTAGGCCAGCCCTGCGAGGCCCTGGAACGTAGGGCTAGTTCAGTAAAACTTCCTGGCTTCGGGGAGCCTGCTGACCTTTTAGCTTAAGCCTCCATCCCTGTTGCATTTGCCCATTCAGACTGTCCTGGTCTCTGTTCTTGTCTACATATTTGAGATGGAGGTCGTCCAATTCTGACACCAATTCCGATGCAGCACACTCAACAGTCACCCAAGCCTGGGTTCAAATCCAGCTGAATGACCCTGGGCGAGCTACATAAATCGCATGTTTCCTCGGTTTCTTCATCTGTGAAATGGAGATAATAATGCCCACCCCGCACAGAGCCACCGCAAAAATTAAAGAGAACACACGTCAACTTCCCAGCGCAGAAGCAGTTGTGGCAAGCCCCGGAATTCCCTCCTCTTCTCCACCCTGGCCAAGCGTCCCAGTTCTTTCAAGCTCAAGCTTCACTTCCTGGAAGAAGCCTTCCCTAACGTTTCCAGGTCACATTGCAAGCTCTCTCCTCTCCACTCCCACTGCATTGATCCCAGCATCGAGTACTTCCTTGTTCTCTCATTGGCGCACTATAGTTAAGTTTCTCTTTCTAGCCAGACTTGAGGTGACACACTCGACCCCAAGCCTGCCCCACAACATCTTACACGCTCACAAGAGGCGCTTGAAAAGTAATTAGCTAAGGGAGCCCAAGACTCTGGGGAGGGGTGAGGATTTGGAGTCAGGAAACCAGGCAGGAATCCTAGCTCTGCTATGTGACGTTGCAGAGAGAGAGTCAACCCTCTAAGCCTCAGGTTTCTCATCTGGAAGACGAGAACTGAAAAGATGTCTACCTGACATGGTCGCTATGGAAGACAGATGAGCTAGCATATGTGAAAGCCCTTTGTTAGGAACTAAACAGTGCTATTTAAGGGATTATTATTTTCAGATTCTCAAATCCAAATCTACCGACGCCTCAACTCTCCTATACCTAAGAGTCAAGAGACCAGCTCATCCTACAGAGCTCAGCCCCAAACAGTCCAACAAAACACACATTCTTAACTGTGCACCCTAAACAAAAAGCCAACAGCCTAGAATTCACAACATCCGTCGAGCACAAGCCTCATCCCAGCTCACAGACCACAAAATTTCTCCCCCATCCTCAGATCTGACCCGTCCTGGACACAGGTTTCTCCCTCCCCACCAGGCACCCCATGCCTCAAACCTGCTCCAATTGTGTTTTGGCCAGGCATCATTTCTAGCTTGCGGTTCAATGTCTATGGGAAGTGAAAATGGGGAAACAAGACCAGGGTGGCTACGGTTGTGTGTGGGGAGAAGGGTGGAGGAGTCTTGGTAGTAGAACTGAAGATTCTGCTGGAATTTTGTGTCCAACAGTTGCTAAATGTACTATAATTATCGCATTTGTGTGAAAATTCAAGGATCTGCATTCTGCTATTTTCATGAGACTCGATGAAATGCAGGCGTTGAGGAAAAGTAAGAAGTTGGGGTTCAAAGTCTTGTACCCAGGAACCAAAATCCCACTGAGCAACCCCAGAGAAATGAAATCCCTAACAAAGCTGCTGGGGGCCTCCAGTCGCCCCTTTCTCCTGCACCCAGACTCCCCAGCCCGCCATTCCGGGCTCCAGCCCCTACTCTTCCCCATTAATGCCATATTGGCACCACAGCCATCAGGGTCTATCGGAGTGAATCGTCTCTACACGATTTTTTTTCCCCTGGGGAAACTGCTTTGTCTCCGTGAAAGACCCCAAAACCAGACACCTTATAAACACCCGAGCCAGACGGGTTTTAAGGGAAAGGAGGGAGCAGGCCCGGAGGAGTCCCTGAGGCCCGCTGAGGGCGGGAGGGAGTCCGAGGCCGGGGGCGGCGGCTCCCGCGCACCCACCCCCCGGGGACGCCCTCCAGGCGCTGGAGCTGGCGCCCCGCAGCCCCAGCCGCAGCGACCGGGCCCCCGCAGGCCTCGGAGCCCAGGGACTGGTCCTGCGCCCGGAAATGCCCCCTGCCCAGACCGCGCCCCCCTTTCCTGCCGCTCCCCCCGGGCCGGGCCGCAGGCCCCGCATCCCCGGGCTCGCGTGGCCGCCGCAGCCGGCAGGGGCGACCCGTTGGCGGCCGCGGTCCTCCGTCCTCGCCGCGGCCCCTGCAACTGCCGACGCTGCCGGGCCAAGGCGCACAATAAAGGCCGGGGCGCGCTGCCAGCGACGCCCCTGCCAGCCCCCTCGACCCCCTTCGGGGGGGGCGCAAGGCATCCGCGCACCCCAAAGCTCCGGACGCCGAAGAGCGAGCCCCCCACGGAAGAAAATGCCAAGGCAGCCCCCCTGGGAGCTGCAGGGGCGGCCCCATCACCCAGCGGCAGGTGCCCCGGCCGCACAATAACTTTGAAACTTTGGGGCAGGGCACGGGAACGAGGTGCCCCAAAAGGGCGGAAATGGGGGGTGGGGGGGCAATTCCTTTATTTCTGCAAAATGCACTTTCCAGGCAGCCCCGCGCGGCTCCGGCCTGGCCCGGGTTTCCCGCGCCTCCGCCCGGCCCCGCGCGGCCCCCGGGCGCCCCCGAGCCTCCCGCGCCGGCCGCCGGGGCGCGCTGGGCCCCGGCCTCTGCCGGCTCGGGCCGCGCGCAGCACTCACCTCGGCCGGGCTGCGCTCTCCGCGGGCCTGCGCCGAGCCCGATAAGTGGTATGCTATGACTAGAGGTATGATTACGTTATTATTATTAGTAATAATAAGAGTAAATGCTATTTAATTACGGGCGGCCGCATCGTGCTCCCGGCGCCGCCGCCCCGGCAGCTCCGTCCATGTGGCCCCGGAGCGCGTTACTTTCATTTCCAGCCCCTTCGGCCGGCCGCTCGCGGCAGCACCCGCTGGAGGCGCCGTCTCCGCGCAGCTCCGCCTCCTCGGGTCCTAGAGCGCGGCTCCCCGCGCCTCGCGCCCGGGTGGGCGGTGCGGGAGCGCACCCGGGGGCGGGAAGTCCCCCTTCCTCGCCGAAAGCTCCTGCCTGGCCTCCGCCTTTCTCTTCTCTAAAAGCGTCCTTCCCCTTTAGCGCTTTTTCTTTTGGCATTTCTGGGCCGCCGCTGATCAAACCCAGCGCCTCCGCCCTTCACCATATGTGTAAAAAGCCCCCGGGTTTCCAGTGGTTTCACTGGAGGCGCCACCGAACCCTAGTTGCTTTGTGCCCTTTTCACGAATGAGGACCGGAGGCTCCCGAGAGGCAGCAGGAGCTCACTTAGCTGGTGTTTTACGTATGGGATCTTTCCAGAAAGGATTTGAGGCTACTTAGAAGACCTAGTAGGTAAAGAGATGAGCCAGAGAGACTGGTATTGCATCCCTGGCGCTGCCTGGGAGCTGGTCAGGGCCAGGCGGGATTTGAACCCAGAGCCTCTGATTCCCCATGGAGCGTCACCCCACCCTAGGATGCTAGGAGAGACAAGAATTTGGGGCCATGTTTACTTATTTAATTCTCATAATCCTGGAAGATTGGTATTAGCACGCCCATTTTACAGATGGAAAACTGAAGCTGGGAGAGTAAGTGACTTGTCCATGGCGGCAATTCAGCCTCCAGAGCCTGTGTGCTTTACATGGCCTCTACGGTTTCCACTGTCTGCCCTAAGAGACCCTTGGAAGGAGAAAAAATGCACCTGCACCTCAGAAGTTTTCCAACTCTTCCTTCTGTGGGTGCCATCTCTCTCCTTGTTACTCGAAGATTAACAAACGAAAAGACAGCCTCTGGCATGATGAGGATGGGCGTTTATGTCCAGAAATGAAAAGCAGAGTCCAGTGGCTCTCAGACTCACTGCAGAGCGGGGCTTGTTTAAAATGAAGACTCCTAACCCCCGGCCCCTATATCCTAATTCAGCATTTCTGACAAACACCCCTTGGAGACTCTGATATTTAGTGGGAAATCAATCCCTGGGGCACCTGGGATAGATCCAAGATCATGGGTTAAAGGCAGCCACAGGCCCAGAGAGTCCCAGATTTGCCGTATGCTGGCTGTTTGACCCTGGGCAATTTCACAGCATCAGTGTCCTCATCTGTAAAATAAGGATAGGAATACCTAGTCAACATTGTAGTTTGTTTCAAAGATTACACTGAAATACCTATGAAGCATGTGGTACAGTGCCTAGCCCATGGTAGGGGATGAACACATATTAGTGAAACACTCTTGACAATTTATTGGATTAGGTACCATTGTTGTTGTTTTTGAGGAAGATTAGCCCTCAGCTAACTACTGCCAGTCCTCCTCTTTCTGCTGAGGAAGCCTGGCCCTGAGCTAACATCCGTGCCCATCTTCCTCTACTTTATACGTGGGACGCCTACCACAGCACTGGGCCGGCCCTCAGGTGTCAATCTTTAAAAAAAAAAAAAGAGGGAGCTGGCCCGGTGGCACAGTGGTAAGTGCACATGTTCTGCTTCTCTAGCGGCCCGGGGTTCGCCGGTTCGGATCCTGGGTGTGGACATGGCACCGCTTGGCACGCCATGCTGTGGTAGGCATCCCACGTATAAAGTAGAGGAAGATGGGCACGGATGTTAGCTCAGGGCCAGGCTTCCTCAGCAGAAAGAGGAGGACTGGCAGTAGTTAGCTCAGGGCTAATCTGCCTCAAAAAAATAAAATAAAAAATTAAATTAAATTAAAAAAAGACAGGGAGGACCCAGGAGCCTAGGGGCTGAGATAAGCTAGGCACCAGACTGTAATAGAGTGGATGAAATGCAGAGGATAAAACATGGTCACACTTGTCCCCAATGTGTTATTATGAAAATGTTTAAGCATCCAGAAAGCTGAAAGAAAAATTACCTGTTTTGCTTTTAACAAAAATGTGATGTGGATGGATGGATTGAAGGATGAATATGCAATAAAGTTAATATAGTAAAATGTTAACAATTGTAGATAATCTAGAGCATGCGAGTATTCATTGCACAGTTTTCATTTAAAAAATTATTTCCATTTTGGAACAAAAGAATTATTAAAAGAGGAAATAATCTACCAACAGCATTTGGTATTGGGAAACCCTCTATAAACGTTAGACTCAAATTTAAGCTCCTCTGTGGAAACCATCCTTTCCTATTTCGTCACTGGATTCTCAGGAGCTGGAACAGTGCCTGGTACATAGTAGATACTTCATAACCATTTGTGGAGTGAATGAATACTTTTAATTATGGTTGTTTATCGAGGTTGAAAAAAATAGTTAAGAGGGCCCCCGGGCCTTGAACCCAGTGGGGAATGTGGTTTGAGTTGTCTTTAACAGATGACGTAGTCACCCTCTCCCACTAGGCGAGGTGACCCTTGGGGATGAGGGGGCAGGCTTCCTTGCCAGGCCAGGCCCACCTACCTCTCAACAGGGGCCCAAGGCAACACCCAATTGGACCTTGGGAATTTCTCTTCACATTCCTCACGTGCCTGGCATACTTCAGGCATTTGTTTTTATCTGACTAAACAGGCAAGTCTACAGCCTTGGTAGCTCTTCAGGAAACCAGCATAAATATTGTTATTTATTCCATTTACAATTGGCAATTAAGTTTGTTTTCAGGCACCAGAATGGAATTTAAAACACTCAGTTAGAGTAAACCAAAATAATCAGAGGCAGCCTGCTTTTCTCTTCAAAACATTCTTTTAAAAAAAGCTGCACAACTGCACAAGAGAGAGAGAAAGGTCTGGAACCTCTCCCTCCCTTTATTCCACCCCACACCCAGCTCACACTCACAAAGTGACTTGTTTTGTGTGTGTGTTGAAAAGGACCCCAGAGATCTGGATTCTACTATCTCTTATCTAAATTACCGTGTAGTTTGGCCAGGTTATTTGACCTCTCTGGGCCTCAGTTCTTCATCTGTTAAAAAGAGGAAAGAGGTGGCCTAAGTTGGCTCTATCCATCTGTCAAAGGCTATGATTTCACTTCTTGGGCCAGGCAAACGGACTAGCTCTCAGGTGATAACTTGAAAGAGAGAGACAGTTGGAGAAAGGGAAGGAGAGAGAGAGAGATGACAAATGTGTTGCTCAGAAACACTGATAGTTCTGGACCCTTCTGACTCACTATGCAAACTTCCTTCTCCTTTTTAAACCCAGTCTCCCCATTTTAAAGGTGTTTGAGACAGAATCTAGATCCAAACAGAATCTGCATTGCTAAGGGGTGCTGTCAGACTGGGGTTGTGATTTTTAGCTTTGAATGTGAACACCTTCAGGCAGAACATCTACTCTCTGGTCTCCACGAGCCCCACTGGGCCCCCATTACCTCCTGTTATCTCCTTGGCCCTTGAAGGCCATTGAGTGTCTGCTAAGTATTCCCTTCCAGTTCTGAAAACCCTATGAGCCATCAGCTGGACAAGGAAGGGGAAGATTGCCTAAGATGTGCTCCCACCCGCCTTCCTCTCCCCTTTGGGAGGTCTCCATCAGAGGAAGACTCCGGAAGTAAAACTGGAAAAGGAAGCCTGAGATCACCCCAAGGAAAATCAGACTGATTTGATCAGTCCCAGCCAGAGTCAGCAGAGGAATAGTATCAGGCCTAACTGGGAGCATTTCAGCCTTCCCAGGGGATGATTCATTTTAAGCAAACATCGTGACCCTGACTGGAATCCGGTTCAAATGAGGAAACCTGAAGCACCTATGACAGGCCAGGTCCTGAGAGGATGCTGCCAGGATGGATACAGTCCCTGTGCCTGAGGCTCTCCCAGGCTGAGAAGGAAGCTGCCAAGAATATTATTAACAATACTGTTATCTCTGACTGTGAAAAAGCCCTCAGAGCCGCAGACCAACTCCTGTGGGGGCTTGCATCTTGCTGAGGGCCACCGAAGAAGTTCTGACTGGAGTGGTATAGGACAGCTTCCTGGAGGAGGCGGCATTTGATAAGGGCCTTGTAGGCAGAGAAGGAGAAGGAGGGTGAGAAGAGGGCCCACGTCTCAGTAGCTGTGTGAACCGTGGTTCATTTTTCTCACGTTTATGCTGGGAAGGGTGGTAACGATACCCACTTCCTTTGTGGTTGCAAAGATTAAATTAGCTGAGTATGAAAGGATCTGGCACATAATATATTTAACTCTGAATTGCAGGTAAAGCAAAAGCATGTGTGTGGGCCCAGCTGTGAGACGTCACTTTGGAAAAGAAGGTCACACATGTTGATGGTGATGATCTCTGGATGCTAGAGTTTCCCAGTAACGTTCACTTTCTTTTTATCCTGTTTCATATTGGTTGAAATGTTTATAACGAACACGTTTTTTATATAATGGCTAAAAAGTTCCCTGTGAAAAGAAAAAAGGAAAAGGCATTTGTGTTTCTCAAAAAAATTCAAACCTACAGAAAAGTAGCAAAAATGTTCAAAGAACTCCCATATACCTTTCACCCAGATTCTCTTATTAACAGTTTGCCACATTTGCCCTCTATAAATATATATACACATTTTTTTAACCATTTGAGAGGAAGTTGCAGACATGCTCCTAATTATTTCAGCATATATTTCCCAGGAACAAGGGGAGTCTCTTACCTAACCCGATAAAATGATAAAAAGCAATAAATTTAACATTGATACGACACTATTATCTAATATACAGTCAAGTTTTGCTAATTGTCTCAATATTGCCCTTTACAGTAATCCCCTCCCCCCACTCCAAGATCCAATCCAGGACCATGTACTGCGTTTAGTTGTCGTGTCTTTTTAGTTTCCTTTAATCTGCAGCAGTTCCTCAGCTTTTCTTTGTCTTTCATGACAGTTTTGGAAGAGTACAGACCAGTTATTCTGTAGCATGACCGTCAGTTTGGGTTTGTCTATGTTTCCTCATGATTAGATGAATTCAATGCATTGCTGCTGGATGGCGATGCTGTGTCCTTCTCAGTGCATCACATCCAGAGATGTCCGATGGATATCAGTTTGTCCTGTTGATGTGGATTAAGGCTGCCCCAGCTAGAGAAGCCCAGGGTGACCTGGCCTACATGCCAAACTATACGACCCAGTGGACTTTTTTTTATGGTATGAATTAGGGCTGCCCCAGGGAGAGAAGCCCAGGGCATCCTCACCTACATGCCGATCTATATGGCCAGATTCGTATCTATTGATGTTAATGTGGACCACTGGGTTAAGGTGGTGTCGCAGTGTTTCTCTACTACAGGATTATTATTTCCTTTTTTAATTATCAATTAATTTGTGGCTATTTATGTAGAAGGCTTTGAATGTCCTTTCAATTTCAGGACAAAAAAGCAAGGCTCTCCCCTCAGGAAATGGATACCTGTTTGTCTCTGAAAAGAAAGATGCACAAGCATGCCTTCGGGACTACCAGCCTTTGTCAATAAAGTTAGGTGAACGTGAACCCTTCCGGAAAAGCTGAGACGGCCATGCCGCAACGCATTATGGGAATTGTAGTCTCCTTGGGAGCTGGCGGCTAAACACCGCCCTGTGGCCTACCCCGAGAAAGAGCCAGAAGCCGAAAAGGGAGGGCGAAGAGGGAGCGGGCGTAGGCGCTCTGGGCGCGATGCATCACGGGACTGGTAGTTCGCGGGGCGCGCTCCTGCCGCGCCACGCCGCGCGCGCGCAGGACAACTGGACTACCATGCCCGATAGGCCATGCGCGCTGGGGAAGGGAAGTCGGCCTGGGCCTCGAACAAATCAGATCAAAGGAAAGAAACTGCCGGCTTTCAAAATCCTCCTCCTCCGCCATCATTCGACCCCTTGCGGGGAGCAGGTGGTACCGGAGACGGGCGCGAGTGGCGAGAGCCGCCTGGGGAGCTGGCGGATGAGCGAGCTGGGCATCGGGACCGCTGGACTCGGAGGTGACCCCGGCCTGATCTGACCCGGACCCTAAATCAGTCCCCGCCCCGCCGGGCGAACGCGCGCGCTCGGGTCGCCCCACGCGGCGGCGCCGCTTGTTTACGGTAGGGTCGGGGTCCCTTTCGTTTCCCCGTCACCTGCCTGGGATGGGGGCGGGGGCGGCGCGGCCCTGGAACTGGGGGACGGAGGCGTGGCGCCCCTGAGCGCCTTCTGCTCACCCCCGGGTCTCTCCCCTGAGCCTTCGACAGCCCAGCGCGGAGGGAGTGGGAGCAGGGGGTGCTGGGGGGCGCTGGCCCCTTTCACAAGCGGGGAAACTGAGGCTTAGAGAGGGCGTATGGCTCGCCCAGGACGCCCAGCCCTAGCTGCCAGCAGTGGCGTCTCTTGTAAGCGTCGGTGTCAGCTAGGGGCGGTGCGCGTCCGCCGGGGGTCGGCGTGGGCCCCGCGCTGCCCGCCTGTCATTTGCCGCGAGCGCTCGCGTGTTGCTTCAGTCGCCGCCGCCTCCCAAGGGGCCCACCCCCGCGGAGGGCCTGCGATCGGCGTGAGTCACTGCGAACGCTTCGCAGGAGCCATGGATGTGCACCTAAGGAAGCCTGCGACTCTTTTGCCCAGAAGGGAGAGAACTGTTTGTGTTTAGCGTTTGTCTTTGCCCTACCGCTGACCCTTTGCACACCTTAGACAAGTGAATTCACCTTTCTGTGCTTCGGTTTCTTAGTCTTTAGTGGATCGCGCGGGCGCGCGCGTGTGTGTATGTACTAGTCTGAGGAATGAGCCCTCCTCCAGCTGAGAAGTTCTGTGTTCCTATTCCATTTGGAGGCCCCACTACCATTTTTCTGACCTCAAATTGTCCCGTCCCAGAACTGCAAGAGATTGGGGGTGGGGGGGCGGGGTTCAGGCTAATTTTTATTCAATTTCGTCCTGTCATTCTTGGAGCACTTTTTCTAAATATATATATATATATATATATATATATATTTTTTTTTTTTTTTTTTTTTTTTTTTGAGGAAGATTGGCCGTGAGCTGACATCTGTGTTCATCTTCTTCCACGTTTTATATGTGGGACGCCTGCCACAGCATGGCTTGATAAGCGGTGCTGGGTCTGCACCAGGGATCTGAACAGGCGAACCTGGGGCTGCTGAAATGGATTGCACGAACTTAACTGCTGCTTCACCTGGCCGGCCCCTTGGAGCACCTTGTAAATGCTAGCTAGGCCTTACGTGGCAGATAGTGATCCTGTCAAAACACACATCAGATCATGTCTCTCCTCCGCTAGAAACTCCGCTGGCTCTTCTTGTCACTCACAGTAAAAACCCCAGTTCTTAAAATGGGCTTTGTGACTTGGGCCTCTTGTTAATTCTCTTTTCTCATCTGTTATCTACTTTCTGCCTCCCACTCTAGGCTCCAGCCCCACTGGCCTCCTTGCATTTCCTCTAAACCACCCCTATACCCCACAAGAGCCTTTGTGTTTGCTGTTCCCTTTGCAAGAACACTCTTCCCCCAAATACGTGCGTGGCCCAGTCCCTAATATACCTCAAGTCTTTGTTTCGTTTCTTTCCTTCTAGTCTGCTCTCTAACCATTCTACTTTAAAGTGCATCCCCCCAAAAGATTCCTTACCCTCTTCCTTCCCTGTTTATTTTTCTTCTTATCACTGTCTAAGATACTAAATATCTTGTTTAGAACACATGCTTCAAGAGGGCAGGGTTTGGGCCCGCCCGGTGGCTCAGCGGTTAAGTGCCCACCTTCCACTTTGGCGGCCTGGGCTTCGCCAGTTCGGATCCTGGGTGCAAACATGGCACCGCCTGGTGAAAGCCATGCTGTGGTAGGCATGCCACATAGAAAGTAGAAGAAGATGGGCATGGATGTTAGCTCAGGGCCAGTCTTCCTCAGCAAAAAGAGGAGAATTGGCAGCAGATGTTAGCTCAGGGCTAATCTTCCTGAAAAAAAAAAAAAGGCATATAGACAGACAAACCAGGGTGATAAGGATTCAGATAAGCAGAAGGGAGTGGGAAGCTGGCTGTTTGAGCCCAGAGGAAGCCTGGGGGAGTGGGAGGATGGATGGGGAGCTGTCACAGCTGTGTCTTGATGAGTAGATTGGGGAATGAGGCATTCTGGATAAGAAGTCTCTCTGGGCACCTCCTGGTTCAGTCCCTGTATGTCTTCCCTCGTCTCCCTTGGTTACCTGCCATTTCCTCTTTGGGGAAACCGAGTGGTCCTTTCTTTCAGTCTCTTGAGCTCCAGGCTGGAAGCTCCTTTTTCCAGCAGCTCTGCCCCTGGTCTATTGTGATGGTGGCTGTTGTGATGTAGAGATTTCTGGTCTCCTAGGAACTCCTGAGGTCTGGCCACCATGGGCTGCCCAGTCTTCTGGCCAGGGTTGAAACCAGACGTGCAGAGGGCTGACCCCTGGGCCCCATCCCCAGAGTCATGCCAGCATCGGGGGTGAGGCGTTCTCTGGGATGGATGACCTGGATCCCATAGCCGTCTGTGTCCTGTTTGAGGAATGGGACCCTCAAAGAGAGAGGAGCCAAGATGATCAGTCAGGTGTGTGCTTGGGGCAGACTCTTTGCAGCCATGGATCTGGGATTCAACTGCCATTCACCAGGGGCCCAGGAACTAGGCAACTCAGTTCGCTTTTTTTTTATTATTATTATTTGAGGAAGATTAGTCCTGAGCTAACATCTACTGCCAATCCTCCTCTTTTTGCTGAGGAAGACTGGCCTTGAGATAACATCTCTGCCGATCTTCCTCTACTTTCTATGTGAGACAGCTGCCACATCATCACTTGATAAGTGGTGCTAGGTCTGCGCCTGGCATCCAAACCTGCAAACCCTGGGCCGCTGAAGCAGAGTGCACAAACTTAACCACTCCAGCATGGGGCAGGCACTCACTTGGCTTTGCTAGGTGTCCCAGCTGGGGCAGTTGGGTGGAGAAGGACTTGTAGTGAGATTGTAACTCTGGAGAGGCTGAGACATAACTTTTCTGCTTTCTTGCTACCTCTTCCCCCTTTCTAGAACTGTTCCTTCTCTAATGCTCTTTTCATTTCTCCCAGTGGTTTAGCTCTTGGGGTCTCCATAGCAGGAGGAGGTGGGGTCAGGCTCCTGAAACAGCTGATGTCCTACCCTGACTTCTCCAACCAAGGGACCCCAGAAGACTCCTCTCTCTTAATGAAACTTCGGCCTCCTCAGTTTGCAGATTTCCAGGGGAGCCCCCCATCGTGGCCAACATGGCCTCTGAAGACATTGCCAAGCTGGCAGAGACGCTAGCCAAAACCCAGGTGGCCGGGGGACAACTGAGTTTCAAGGGCAAGAGCCTCAAGCTCAACACTGCAGAAGATGGTGAGTTCTTGTCCCGGCTGGCCCCGGAGAGTGTGTGAATGAGCACTTACTCTTACTGCTCGTCAGGCTCTTATAGCTACATTATATGATGTCGCTTGTCCTAGCAGCTCTGCGAGGTATCATTGGGCCCATCTAACAGTGAGGCTCAAAGATTTGCTCGTGAGTACACGCTGGCTTCCCTGCCAGTCTTCATGTTTGTGGCGGGCATCCCTGCTGGTGACAGCTCAGGCTGGCAGGTGGGAAGGGCCACTTTATCTCTTGGAGGGGATAGTAGGCAATGAGGGACCACAGTTAGTGGCAGTCCCAAGATATAGCCCCTGAATTCTTACTCCAGATCCACCCCCACCTTCACCCCCATGATCCCAGGCTGGTCTGGGAATACCTGTCACCTTCCCCAGAGCTGAGGCCTTCGTGGAGCCTCATGTTGTTAAAACAACAATCCAAGCCGTCTTGGGAGATTCTGGTCCATGCAACCAGACGCCCATGGGCGAGGGATGGATGCCTGTGTCTGTGTTCAGGCACCAGGACTGGAGAGAAGTAGGAACCAGAATGCAGACCCTGTCTTTCCATCCCTGGCCAGTGCATGGCTGGCACTGATCAACTCTGAGTCCCCTGACGTTTGCAAATGAAGTCACCTACGTCAATGCTTGTAAGGCCTCTTGAGGTTCTGGCCCAACCAGGGAAACTGGTCTGCACTTGCCTAGTTGTCGTGGTGTGCAGGCAGGCCTGTTCTCCTCCCCTGGGTCAGAGACTGCTTGAGTCCTTGGGTTGCTGGGAGCGTGGTAGTGCACGTTCTCAACAACTCTGCAGGGCGTTAAAATTTACAGAGTTCCTCCCTGTGCTTTTATCACTTTTGATTCTTGCATCATCCTTGAGGGAGGGAGGTAGAAATGATGCGATTTTGTAAATAAGGAAAAAGGACTTAGGGGACTTCAGTAACTTGCCCAGGGCCATACAGCTGGTGAACAGCAGAGGCAGGATTTTAACCGGTGCAGCTGAGTCCCTGTGCCAGTGCTTCTCGGCAGACCTGCAGCTCAGTTCAGTAAGCGTGATTTTCCTATTAAATGTTATTCATCGAACACTGTCAGGCAGAGTCTTGAGTGCCCTACAAATAGTATCTGGACTTATCATCATAAAAGCCTTTGAGGTAGGTTTCATTCCCATTTTGTAGATTGGAAAATTGAGGCTCAGGGAGGTGATAGGAACTTGCCTCTGGTCACAGCTGTAAGTAGTGGAGCTGGGATTAGAGCTCAAGTTTGGCCCTAAAATCCGTACAGGTAACTGCTTCACCAGCAGAGGCTGGACATGCTCCTCCCGTTTCGTAGGTCACCAGGGATGCCCAGCTTATAGCCCCAGCCTCTGAGGAGCTCCTAACTTGGAGGAGGTACCCACTATTCCTAATAGGAATGAGGTACCCAAATAACTAACAGGAAGCAGAGGGTGAAATATAATTTGAGAGACGTGAAGAGAAAGCTCGGGGAAGTAAGCTGGGAGAAAGGGATCACTCGTAGCTTAGGAGGGCCCAGGAAGTCTCCATGGGTGAGGTTGTATTTGAACTGTCCTTGGAGAAGATTTGAAGGAGAAAGGGCACTGCAGGCAGAGATAACCACGTGTGTTAGACACAGGTGCTGAGACACATGGGGTGGGCTTGGGAGAAAAATGAGAATCCCCTGGGGATCCCAGGGCAGAGGCTCTTGAATCCTGGCTGAGTAGCCTGGTGGCCTAATCATGGGCCCAGAAAGAGGGACTCCATCTTGGCTGGGAGTGAGCTAGTATGGTTGGGGGAGGCCAGAGGCCTGAGCGAGGAGGCCATGAAGCTGATGATTAGAACAAAGCCCTTTTCTCTCCCTGGTAAGTCATTTAAGGACCAAAGAGAGGCCTTTCTGCTTTACATGGCAGTGTAATAAACACCTGGAACTTGTTACTTTGTGAGGTGGTAGAGGCTGAAAAGAGAAATCCCTGCCACACAACCTTAGAACAGTGAGTTATTCAGGTCTGGTTGGGGCCCATCCTTAAGCTGTTTTTAAGTTACGTTTAACTCTATTTGGATTGAAAACCAAGTGGGAGAGGCTGTGACCCCCACCCTCTGCTGTCTCTCCTCTTCTCATTTTGATGCTTTTCCTTCCAAGCTAGCTTTGTGCTTGTGACTCTGCCCCGGGCTGAACTTGTGGAAGGCACAGTATCTATGTATCTCTGTACTATGGCACTTATATAGCATAAGTTGTCTTCCCTTGGGGCCCTGGCCTGTCTGTTTCCTTGCTTTTAAGGACTGCATAAGCATTTCCTTGAGCAGCCTCCTCTCTCCTTGTTGACCTGGCCAGTCCTGGGATGTTAGTAGGGGCTTGCTTTTGGAGCAGGTCTTCCAAAGTGTGAGAGGTCATCCTAACCCTTGCCCTGGGTGCCAGCTGCAGAGGAGGCCTGGGCAACTGGGACCCTGTTGTTGCAGCTCCAGGGTGGTCACTCAGGATGTTGAGGGGGAGTGACATCTCTGCCGGGGGCTGCCTAAAGTCTATGGCTGTGCACAGAAGCAGGGGTTTGGGGAGGAGCACATAGGTTCAGTTTTGGAAAATGAGTCGGAAGCCTGACTCTGCTGCTTTCCCTGAACTTCTGGGCAGAGTTGCTTCATTCCTTGAAACCTCAGCTTCCCCTTCTAGAAAATGCGGGTTCATACTGGTCCAACCGTCCTTGTCATGAAATGGAAAATGAATGCTGGTCACCACTTTTTAGTGGTGTGACGTTAGTAGGCATTTGCTTACCCTCTCTGTGTCTCAGTTTACCCAATTGTAGAACAGACATTAACAGTAACTACCTTATTAGATGTGGTGGAGAATGTTAAGTGCTTATCTTTGGGGGATGTGATGACAAGCAGAGGCAAAGGGAGTCCCTTTCCTCACAGAGCTCATGACCCAGCGAGGAAGATGGTGTTAGTAAAGTCTCCATAGAATGATGCTATCATTCAGACGAGTGTAAAATTGTCGCAGGCCACACATGAGAGATCGGGGGCTGTGAAGCCTGTGGGTAGAGATTTGCCCTGGTTGGGACTCTGGGGAAGTGCTGCTGCAGCAGAAGGGAGAGGGAGGAAGGGAGGCGAGTGCAGAGGCTGCCGTCGGACAGCTTCTTGGGGAGCCCTCACATGTTGTACTTCACAACCCTTCTGAAAGCCCTTCTCTGGTCCTTGTAACCTGGAAGGTCGAGTTCACCTTTTATCTTCTACACACATCCCCGTCTCTTCCCCATCTCCTCTTCCCACTCTATCCTGTGCCAGCCAGACTAGATTTGTTTTGTTTCGTGTAACCCTGTATGTTTTTATTCAGATTATAATATTAATGCATGCATTATAGAGTACAGAAACATTGAAAGAAGGAAAAAAACAAATCTTCATTATCACACGGCCCACGGATGTTAACTACTGTTAATTTTAGTGCATTTCTTTCTAGTCTTTTTTTTGTTTCATTAAACATAGCTGAGTTCTTTTTTTTTTTTTAATAATTGGTATCGTAATTACAGATACTTTAAAAGCTGCTGTTTAACCTGGTAACATTGAGAATATATCAAGCCAGATGATGGAAAAACTCACAATCACCCGTCATCTCACCACGTAGAGATACCTGCTTTAATATTTGATTTCTGTGCTTCTAGGCCCTGGTGTGTGTGTGAGAATAAATATAACATTTTAGAAGTGTGATCAGACCAAACCCCGTTGGATAACCTCATTTTGCACTTACCGCTATAACATGAATGTTTTCCAAGTCAAGTAAACACTTGTGTCACCATTTATAATGACATTAGTGTAACTGTGGTTTCATGTCCCCAAGGGAATTAATCTGTCCTCTGTTGGCACACATTGGGTTTGTTTGGAGTTTTTCATCATCATAAAACAATACAGTGGTGAGCATCCCACACATGAATCATTTGACACTGAAAGCCTTCGTGTTATCGTGCCTGCTGGCCCTCTGACTTGGGGGCTGTTTCCCTGCTTGGCCTGGTGCACCCCCTGTCCTGGGAGACTCCACACACACCCTCCATAAGGTGCCCCAAGTGCTCCCACTGCCCCAAGCAGCCAGTTTCTCTTTTCCCGCAGCTCCCCAGCCTTTCGTGCATGCCTCGTTTCAACACTCGTGACAGGAATTACCTGTGTAGCCTGTTAGACTGTGAGCCTGTCTGATTCTCCTTTGTAAACTGGGGCCTGGCACGTGGTGGGTGCACCGTAGCCATTGGAGTTGTGAGTGACAAAGTTGTGACTGAGCTCTCTCCTGCCTCAGCTGTTCACGACTCCGAAAGTCTAAGGTTCTGTTCTTTGGTCCTGGGCAGCCAAGGACGTGATTAAAGAGATTGAAGACTTTGACGGCTTGGAGGCTCTGCGCCTGGAGGGCAACACGGTGGGCGTGGAAGCAGCCAAGGTCATTGCCAAGGCCTTGGAGAAGAAGTCAGAGTTGAAGGTGAGGTCTTCAGGGCAAGCAGGCTCAGACTGGTTGGGGACAAGCTTCCGCTCACACCACCACAGCCCCTACCTGTGTCCAGACCCTCTCGGGCCCCTGCCTTGTTGGTGGTCACCATGAACAGCTGCTCCTGCTCTGGCCCTCACAGAGCATACAGCACTGGCCAGAGCCCTTCTTCCCACGTGATGTGTCCGTGGGACCTCCAGTAACAGACGCTGAAATGGTGTTAGGAGTGTAAGAGGTTTATCGGGTACCGTGTGTGAAAGATGAAGGGAGAAGAGACAGAACTGGACAGGGAGAGCCTCGGCTGTCGATGCAGATGTAGCATCTGTGAGGAGGGAAGGGCACAGAATTGGGCAGCGAGAGCCTCGGACTGTGAGGCCATTCTGACAAACACTCAGCCCACCAGCGAGGAGCTCCAGAGCAAAGGTTGCCCAAGAGAGAGGATTCTCGTGTTGGGCACAAATGCCGAGGCCTCTGCTTAGGTGCTGTGGCAGGTTGGGAAGGTGCCACAGCCAGTTAACTACACTCCTCATAGCTGAATGGCAAGTTCGTTCTTAAAGGCTCGATCCAAGTGGTGCCCTCTTTTGTTGACACAATCTTCTAGTGTCTCACAGTGGGTTCCACAGATCACCAGTCCTTCAAGATTCTCTGTGAGAAAAGTGGAGCAGCGTGTGCAAAACGTCCGGAGGATGTCGCTGCATGCTCCCCTCACGGGCTCCCAGTGTATGTGAGCGTATTAAAGCCCCTGAAGAATCGTGAGACTTGAAAAAAAGAGTAACTTCCTCGCTGCTGGATCCTGTAGTGTTTACTTGCCTGTTCGTCTGCCACCCAAAATCATGTCATGCGTTGCTGCAGCCCACACTGTGTGGGAAACTGGTGTTAGGAAGGAGCACTGGTATCTTGGTCCTACCACTCACTGCTTTACCGTGGAACCAGGGGGCCAGTCTCCTCCCTCTCAGCCTGATTTCCCTCCTGGAAAACCAGAGGGTTGGACAAATTAGGGTTTTCCTGACACTTGTATTGAGTCCCCGTGGCCCTTGGGGGGGGCGCCTCCAGGTCCCCCCAACTTCAGCCAGAGCTGGTCCAGCCCAAATTCTGTGTTGTAGTGCTTGGTAGTCCAAGTCTACGAGGATGAGGTGCTGCCCGCAGGCCGCCTCCAAGGGTCTCAGCTAACTCTTCTTCCTCCTTCCAAAGCGATGCCACTGGAGCGACATGTTCACGGGAAGGCTGCGGTCTGAGATCCCACCAGCCCTGGTAAGTGAACGAGGCCGCAGCTCCCCTTCCCTAGGCACGGGGTCCCCTTTGGCAATTCCCAGGACTTTTTCTCACACTTTGTTCACCCTGTGGGTGACTGAGATGCTGAAATGGAAGCCAGGCAAACACAGCATCCGCCCTGTGTCCTGCCAGGTAGGTGGGAGTATAGGTGATAACAGCGTGCCAGGGGGTGAGGACTTGGACCCTGTGAGACAGGGAGGCCCTGAGACAGGACAGACAGCAGAGACTGGTGATTCCTGGGGTTCATTCTCGAGCTGTGTGGTTTTGCTCCCACCCTGGATCTTGCTCCCTGCCTGATTACCCACCTTGTCCTGGCACTTCTCTCCCCTGCACCATGGCATGCGGCTCCCTCATGACCTCAGTCTGCACACAGCCTGCTGGGGCCGCCTCATCTGTCTCTGGCCCCTCCCTTGCTCCATACCACTCTTTTTGTTTTGATTCTCATCGTGGGTGGCTTCCTTCTGCCTCCATTTTCCGTTTCCCCATTGCTGGGGCTCATCTTGGCTTGAGTCAAGTTCCCAGCTTTGTGTGTGTGTGTCTATACACACAAGCACGCGTGTGTGGGAGGGTGCATTGTAGAAGAGACTGGCTTGCCTGGGGCTCAAGGGAAGGAGGCAGGGCTGGCACTGGGCAGCCTCTCAGTGTATCCTCCTAGCACGGAGCCTAGCACACAGGGTGCCCTCAGGGTTCTTTGTCAGTTATTGGCATGATCATCCATGTTATTGAGTCCCTCACCCTGGGCGTGCTGGGGCTGCCTTCTCAGGCCTCCATTCATCTAGCCAGCACTGGGGTTTCTTTCTTTCTTTCTTTTTTTTTTTTTTGAGCAAGATTAGCCCTGAGCTAACTACTGCCAGTCCTCCTCTTTTTGCTGAGGAAGACTGGCCCTGAGCTAACATCCATCCCCATCTTCCCCTACTTTATATGTGGGACGCCTACCACAGCGTGGCTTGCCAAGCAGTGGCATGTCCGCACCCGGGATCCGAACCGGCGAACCCCGGACTGCCAAGAAGCGGAACGTGTGCACTTAACTGCTGCGCCACTGGGCACTGGGGTTTCTGAGACACCCATGCACCATGTGCATGCACCTCATTCCAGCCCACAACTAAGGATCATCCAGGGTGTGACAGGTGCCCTAAGGGGGACCCCGGGGCAAGTGCTCTCTGGGTAGGGGATTGAGGAAGAGCCCTGGGAGAGTTGGTCAAGTTAGTTACCAGCCTCAAAGGGTGAACAAGAACCTGTGAGGCCTAGGGTTTAGAATGCAGGTTAAGTAAATTCCTTTGGGGGATTATAAGTAAAAAGATTTCAAGTTAGAAAGGAGGGTGAAGAAAACTCAGTTGTTGGATTCCAGCTGTGGGTCTCTGCGCACATTGTTTAACCTAAGTTTTAGCATTTAATTTCCTCAAGCTTTGAGGGAGGTGTTCTTATTTCCCTATTACCAATGACAAGAAGGCATCTTAGGGGGCTGAGAGGGTTGGGGTCGGGGAAAGGCATGAAATGCAGGGAAGGTGGAGCGGGCACGGAGAGTCTGAGCAGGTCTGGCTGCTTGAGGCTGGAGGTCTGGTGGGGCCCCGTCACCAGGGGCTGGGCCTTCTCCTGCGGGCGGGGGAGCCAGAGAATGGCCCTTGGTCGTTGATTGAGTGGTGGGGAGGACAGGAAACTACCTCAGCTGCCCCATCTGTGGCATAGGCAAGGGCAGTGTCCCCTCTCCCCTCTCCTCCCGCCATGAACCACCTGCCGGATCCATGCCCAGCCCCTTTTCTGCCCCCAGTCTCCGAAGGAGCCTCGACTCCTAACCCATTTCTCTGGGGGACTGTAGGTATCCCCAGCCCAGTAAGTTCCCAGGAGAGCTCAGCTGCTTCTTGCCACATCTGGTCCTGGACTGTGGTGTGGAGATGGGCACCCCACTGCCCAGTCACCACCAGAAGCCCTGGAGACTCCCTGCCTCCTGCACATCCAGTGGACCCTTAGCTTTTGCAGGTCTCCTGCCCTCTGTGAGGTCTGCAGAACTGCCCTGAGGCTCAGTTTCCTCTCCTCCATCTCCCACCACACCAGCCAGCCAGCAGCGTCCTCTCTTGCCTGGATTGCTGTCCACACCCCTGGGTGGGCACTCAGCCTCCACCTCCCTCTGTGGTCGGTCTCCCCTCCTCAGGTTTGGGGGATATGTCTTCCCCATCCCTCACCCACCTCAAAGCCCATTGCTCTCAGGCTCAAGTTCACAGTTTTTGGTCTGGCATTCAAGGCTCTTCCCTGATTTGACTCCTTGCTTCTCTTCTAGCCAAATCCCACTTCCCTTCCATCCTCAGCCTCCTCTGGAGTCTGCCAACTGCTTGGCCCAGGCACACAGCATGCTGTGTCTCTCGGCTCGTGTTTTTACTGCTGGCTGGAATCGCCTCATATTTGATTGTCTGATTTTCATCTAGACTGAGCTCAAGTGCCACCTCCTACAGGGGCCCTGATCATCCCACGTACACCAGGCCCCACGCCCCAGCTGAATTAGGAGCCCTCTGCAGGGTTTCCAGTCCTGGGTGCATAATACAGTTCTGTACTGAAATGGTCTATGTCTCTGCGAGTTCCCACTAGCCTGGGTGCCCCCTGAGGGCAAGGAAGGCCTGGCACAGAAGCGGCACCTGGCGGGTGTGTGTGAGACTGACGTGAGTTCCCTCTGTGCCCAGATCTCTCTAGGGGAGGGACTCATCACGGCCGGGGCCCAGCTCGTAGAGCTGGACCTAAGTGACAACGCGTTCGGACCTGACGGCGTGCGAGGCTTTGAGGCCCTGCTCAAGAGCTCTGCCTGCTTCACCCTGCACGAACTCAAGCTCAACAACTGTGGCATGGGCATTGGTGGCGGCAAGGTGGGTGCAGTGGCCCCCTCCCCCACGTCCCATTGTCTCTCACCCTGCCTTCCTGCCCAGTCACCTGCTGTATTTACATTTGTGTGAAGTATGTGTCCTTGACTACCCACTGGTTGGGCTGGTTGGGCTGTTGTTTTTCTCTTCAAAGGAGAAAGGCCTCAAAAGCAGCAGCCTATGGCTAGTGGGGAGAGGAGATGGAGTTCATGAAGATGGGGTTGCCAGGCAACCATCTCCAGTCCTTATGTTGCCTTGGCAACATGCAGGCAATATTGCATACGTTCTCTGATCTGCCGGCTTTGCAAAGTGCAGGGCTGGGAACATCCCAAGACCCACTGTACCCGCAGAACAACTGGCAGAGCCACATGAGGCCTGGCATATGCGTGTGGGGAGGGAGCCCGGGTCACAGCTCACCTTTGTTCCCGGACAGGGCCTTGCCCTGGGTGTCTCTCTTGTCCTGCCAGTAAGTCAGGCTGGTCAGTGTAGAAAGGAACCTCTTTTCTTTCCAGAGCCTGTACCAAGGGAGGCCAGCCCTGTTCACTGTCTTCTTCATCCAGCCTGGCTCCTTTGGGCCCAGGTTCTACAAAGGCTAAGAGCTGATCTGCATTCCTGTCCTTCCCTCCTCACCTTCTGACCAGAAGGAGAAAGGGGCTGGGACACAGGAACTGACAGCAACTGGGGACATCTCTTTGTGTTGTGTGCATTACCTTAACTCTCCCACATCAGTTTTTCAGATAACTAGACTTGGGCTTGGAGATCTTGGAGTGCCCAGATGATGTAGCCAGTGTGGGCCCGATGTGGGATTTGAACCTGGGTCCATGTGGCTCTGTCAGAGTAGCAAGAGGAGCCTGTGCGATGCTCACAGGGCTGCAGGCTGAGAGCCAGAGTGCCTCCCTGCAGAGGGGGAGAGGAGTAGAAAGGAGGCAGGGGCACGCTCCCATCCCCTCTCAGCCAGCCTCTCCCTGGGTCATTGGGCAATAAGCTGTGTGTGTGTGAGAAGATGGAAAAATATTTGCAGTAGCACACAAAACAGGTCCAGCCCAACCTAGACTGGAATGTGCTGGGAGAGCCAGAGAAGTCTTTGTGAAATGCCTGTTTTCCATCTGTCCCACCTCTGCCATGTGGCAGTTCCAGGGAGCTGAGGCTCCTGGAGCTTCCCCGGCTGGCCAGTGGTTGTCTGGCCTAGCCCTTACCTGGAGCAGGTGGGATAACTCAAGGAAGAAGAGAGGTTTGAACCCTCGGGCCAGGGGCCTCCCCAGCAGACCCGCTCTACTCTGGAATTTGACTGGTAGTTGTTTGTCATATCCCTCACCACTGATTGGATGAGACCTTTGGGTGCTGGCCTTGTTGATCTGCACCTTCTGGGGGCTTCAGGCACCAGGGGCTGGGTGTTTAACTAAGGTCTCCAGTTTTGGAATCTGTTCCCTCCACCTGGACTGTATTAAATGTGGCCCGTGTGCCATGCACCATGGGAATAGCAGGCCCAGAGTATTCAGGTGGGAGTGAGATGTGGGCCTGTGCTTGGTAGTTCTCCAGACCCAGAGTCATTCCCAGGTTGGACCTCCTGCAGGAGCTAAGGCCCTCACCATGGTGACCCTACAGGGGAACCAGGGAGAAAGGGGTGTGCTGGCGCCGTTGGTTGCCGTCTCTGCGAAGATTCCTCTGAGGCTCGTCTACAGCAGAAGTCTGCAGTCTCTGCATTCAGCGTGTGCACAACCAGCCACCACCACCTAGAGTCAGGCCGATGGCGGCTCTTATATTCCCCCAGGACAGAGAAATGTGTGCATTTAGAGTGACCCGCCTGCCAGTCGCAGCTCCGCTGGGTATTTGCTGTAGAACGTTGGCCAATTCACTTACCTCTCTGAGCCTCAGCTTCCTCGTTTATAGAGTAAAGCTGATACCACCTGCCTGCCAGGCTCATTTTGAGGTTAAAATGAGGTGTGCAGGTCCCTTTGCAGAGGGTGCTCTAGGAAAGTTACTCCTCTCCTGCTGCCCTTGTGAATCTTTTATGTCTTATTTTCAACAAACTCTCTGATTGCCACTGTCCAGCCAACATTTTTGAACTCTTGCTTTGTTAGTGTCACTGATGTAGAAGCTACATCCTGGCACCACACCAAGGACAGGACAAACTGAATTTTGGGTTTTTACTCCCAGCAGCTGAGACCCTGCTGTGTGTGGCTGGCCTGGGCACAGGCCTCTGTCAGATGGGTGCAGTGGGGCCTTGGTCTCCTCAGCCAGCTCCCCTTAGGCACTGGGGACCATGGAGGAGATGCCGGAAGATCTGGGTTCTGGTCTGGAGTCTGCCACTTGCTTAGTGACCATAGGAAACTTTCTGTCCCTCTCTGAGCCTTAGTTTCTTGAGCTGGAAAGTGGGAATCATGATGGTCCCCTCCGGATGGAGGGCTTATGACAGTAAAGTGAGCTGACTGTGAAGCCCGTTCCCTGGGACCTGTCTTAAAGTTGGCCACTCAGTGTTGGTGTCTCCCTTCCTTCTGGGCCTCGGTCTCTCCATCTCTAACATGACGCTAAACCCCGCAGGGTGGTGGGACACACAAATGAAGTGGTAGATGTGAAAGCCCATTGTAAACTGTAAGGTGCTGGGCACATGTGAGCTGTGACTATTGTGCCTTGGAGTGATTCTCTGTCTCCCGTATCCACCACCGGTGGGTGGCGTGGGATGTTGAAGACCAGGGCCTCCTGCCTTAAGCCTGGGCCCCTTGCCTTTTCCCTTACAGATCCTGGCAGCAGCTCTGACTGAGTGTCACCGGAAATCCAGTGCCCAAGGCAAGCCACTGGCCCTCAAGGTTTTTGTGGCTGGCAGAAACCGCCTAGAGAACGATGGAGCCACTGCCTTGGCAGAAGCTTTTGGGGTGAGTGGTTTCTGCCCATCCTGCCCCACCGTGTACTGAAGTGGGCTAAGCTTAGCAGGCTGACAGACCAGCTCTGGAACTTAGCTGAGGGACCTAGGATGACTAGCCTCTGCTCTCTGAGCCTGCAGGCTCATACTGCAGTGGGGCAGAGTTCCTGTCCTGTGTGTCTGAAAAGTTGCATGACCCACCACTGCAGGTGAATGGGCAGTAGCTCCTTGGAGCACTGTTCGGGAAGATTGTGAGGCTGCTCTGAGCAGTGAGCCTGCCAGGCTCAGGGATGGGAGTGGTGATGCCAGAGCTGTGTAAGTGCTGACCATAGCCTGGCACAGCATTGGCCTGGGCAGGGCTTGCTGAGGGTCGGGGTCTCTGGCCTCTTGTGGGCGGGGCACAGAGATGGAAGTGATCAGACTTGTGCTTGAGACAGGGAGACAGGAGCAGTGGCCCGGGTGCTGGGATGACACGCCCTAGGGTGCCCTTATCCCCTACTCTGCCCTCCCACTCTCCTCCCCACTCCCAGCCGCCCCACCTCCCTCCTCCCAGGACACTGCTGCATTCCTGCTGGTGAGTTCTGTGAGAGTGCTGCAGGTGTCCCCATGGGGTGGGGAACTTTGGGCTTTGTCCCTCTTCTCTTAATTTAAACGTTTTCTTTGGCAAACAGTATTCCAGCAGCATTAACTGTACTCAGGCCAGAGCAGCGTCCCCCATAGTCCTGCCACTTAGGGTGGTCCTCCTGCCGAAGCCTGCCTGCCTCAAGTGGAGAGTGGATGTTGCAGGAAGTGCCCGTATCTCAGTGCACTGCTGGCTGCAGGGGCACTCCTGCCTCCTCCTCTGAGCTGGGGGAACCTTGTTAGCGTCCTGTAAACATCATGACGGTACAGGTTACAGCTTCTCCCTTGGCCTGCTGCCCTTGGCCTGCTGCCCTCAGCGTGCTGGGCATGGGGATACATTGTGGTTGTGCTTGGCCTTCATCAAGAGTGTTCTAGTGCTCTTAGAATGGGGGTCTTATCCTGGGGTCCATAGGATCCCACTAGTCTATGGATAGAGTTCAGGAAGTCTTTGGACACGGATTGGGGGAACATTGCATGATAATTATCAGTAACGTGGCTAAAATGTAGCATTACCTTCCATCGTGAATGTAGACCATAAACAGCAGCTTTAGAGATTTCTGTGACTTTGTTAGCAATAGAAATCACAGATATTGTTGTGTGAAGTTATGGTTGTTACGGATACATAGAAATATTTATGTTTCTCATACGTCATGGTTATGGCAATGGTAGACTTGCTCCTGCGTCTTGCTAGTGACTTAGTAAGATGCAGGTTTATCACTACAGCACATGTTTGGGGATTTTTCTAAGTGTTTTGATAACTCTTCCAATTGAATTGATTTCCTTTGTTATCCTATATAATTTAGCTTAAAATGTAAAAACATTATTCAGGGGAGGGAGCCCAGGGGCTTTACCAGACTGCCTGAAGGGCCCGTGGCACAGAAAATATTAAGAAGCCTGGACTGGTGATGCGCCTCAGCTGGCCTGCCTGTATTTATTTGTGCACCCATCCATGCTGAGCTGGGCATCCCAGGACAACAGAAGGTGCCTAGGTACTGAGTTATACCAGGCCTGGCCTCCATCTCAGGGAGCAGTGGAGATTGGGACGTGGACTGCTTCTGGAGGGCTCAAAGAAGGTGGCTTTGATACTCCAGGGTGCTGAACACCATGATAGAAGGAGGACAGGGTGCTCAGGGGGCACAGAGGAAGAGCACTGGCCTGTGCCAGGAGGCGTCCAGGATGCCTTCCTGGGGGAGGAGGCATCCACAGTGAGAGTTGTGGAATCCTTAGGAGTCAGCCTGTCAAGAAAATGCCAACAAATAAGGAGACAGAGTGTTCCAGGCAGAGAGAATGAGGTGTCCAAAGGCCAGATGAAAAAGGGCTAGGTGGGTTAGGGAAGACCCTCCTTACCCCCAAAAAAGGATGTGGCCACCAGTCATATCGTATAAATAGGGCAGGAGCACCCCAAGAAAGAAAGGCCAAGTGGAGCTGCGTTCTGTGGAGAAGGGCCATGGCCAGCTACTGGGCCAGAGCCCAGGATCCCCACAGTGCAGAGGAGACCTGACTAAGAAACCTGTGTTTAGAGCTGTATAACTCTGGGCAAGTCACTTAGCCTCTCTGATTCCTATTCTCTACCTGGTGGAGATCCTAATCCCAGGTAGGTCTCCCTCATGTGGTGGTGGAGAGGGTCAGATGCAGCTGTGACCCAAACCCCAAAACATTCACGGATGAGCCCCTGTGCTGACAGCAGCCCCGCCCCATGTCTGGTGTGTAGTGCTGCCCTTCCACCTGCTGGATGTCACTAGCCCTGGGCCTGCCCCTGGTGCTCGGGGCTCACCTCTCTGCCCTCTCTTTCCTGCCCCTCGCAGATCATTGGGACTCTGGAGGAGGTCCACATGCCACAGAATGGGATCAATCACCCTGGCGTCACTGCCCTGGCTCAGGCTTTTGCCATCAACCCGCTGCTGCGGGTCATCAACCTGAACGATAACACCTTCACGGAGAAGGGCGCTGTGGCCATGGCCAAGGTGAGGCGGGCCCGGAAGGCAGAGTCTGGCTGCTGCCTCTGCAGTTTACCCATCGGCAGGTGTCTGCTCTGCCCCTCTCCCTGCCTACGTGGCGTGCCCCCCATGGGTCCAGCCCATGCGAACATGTCCAGAACAGGGCATATCTCACCAGCTCCCCTGTGTCCTCCTTGGGCAGCTCTGAGTGTCTGCGCCGCCCTCATCCTGAGCTGCCCCAGCCGTTGGTGCTGGTTTTGTTCTCAGAGGCTGCATGGAAGGCCTCTCCAGCCTGACTGTTATCCTCGTCGAGTCTTTCATCAGCTGTTAGTTGAGCCCCTGTCTAGTGCCCAGCCTTGTACCGAGTGCAGGCCATGCAGAGTTGAGTCAAAGCCTCTGCTTTCAAGGAGCCCCTAGTTCAAAGAGGGAAGGAAATGGCTAATTGATGACACTGCAGGGCTGTGAACACAGTGGCTGGCTGGGTGTTGGGCCTCTGGGTGGGAGGGCTCCACAGCCCCTATCAACCTCACAGGGCTCCATGACCCCACAAAAGGTTAGTCTTGCTACTGTGGGGTGTTAGCAGAGACGTGTACAAGTGTTGGAGACCACACAGGGAGTTCAAATCAGACTTAGAGCAGGCTTCTTGGAAGAGGCCACGTTTTGGCCAAGTTGTACAGGACAAGTGGACTTTCTCTAGACAAAGAGGGTGGGAGCAGTGTTTGAGGCAGAGGCATCAGCAGCATGTGGGAAGGCCCAGAAAGGGGAGGGAGCCTTGCTCGATTGGTCCCGGTTTGAAATGACCAGTGTTCAAGGTATGGTTGAGGGCTGGAGGAGGTGAAGAGAGGGAGGCAAGACCTTATGGCCTTGCTGACTCCTTGAGACTGTTTCCTGTGGGTAATAGGGAGCCATGGGGGCTAGTGACCCATGGAGGGTTTTAAGCAGTGGTGCAATGTGGTCAGATTGATGCTTCAAGAAAATGGTTCTGGCTGTAACATGGGAATAGAAGGCGAGGGTTTAGCCAGAGGCCAGGTCAGCAGGGGGGTGACGAGAACTGATGAGGTTCTGAGGAGGCCAGACTGGACAGAGAAGGACATGGTGTGGTGACTGATACGGGATGTGGTGTCAGACTGTGGAGTACTGGGGTGAGGCCTGCACCCTCACCCTGGCCCTCACTTCCTCCTTGCAGACCCTGAAGTCCTTGCGGCAGGTGGAGGTGATCAACTTCGGGGACTGCCTGGTGCGCTCCAAGGGCGCCGTTGCCATTGCAGATGCCGTCCGCGGGGGCCTGCCCAAGCTGAAGGTGCCGGCCCCGCCGCCTGCTGTCTTCCCTTGGGGTCTAGGCTTCCCCCGCACTCAAGGGTTATTGCCATGGGTGGTGGGGGGGGGGGGGGCTGGCAGGGGGTCTGGTCTTCAGAGGCAGGTGGGCCTAGGTTCATAGCCCAGTTCTTCCACGTCCTCCCCGTGTGATTCTGTGCAAGTCTCTTCACCTCTCTGACCCTCAATTTCTTCATTTTTAAAATGGGAGGAGAGGAGTGACGGAGGTTATTATAGTATAGTGCAAGTAAACATACTGGCCCATGATTGGGTAAATGGCGTCATCTTTGTCGTTGGTCTTACTCTGTCTGGGTGGAGGACAGAGCCTGCCTTAGTCTCCCGTGGGAAATGGAGGCTTCAGAGTAGGACCTCTTACTTTTAGGAGCTGAACTTGTCATTCTGTGAAATCAAGAGAGATGCTGCTCTGGCCGTTGCTGAGGCTGTGGCGGACAAGGCTGAGCTGGAGAAACTGGACCTCAATGGTAACAGGGGCGGTGACCTTGGCACAGGCCTGCGGGGTGGGCCCTGGTGCCCGTCCTGAGCCTCCATTCCCTCCCCCGCGAGCAGGCAACACCCTGGGAGAAGAAGGCTGCGAGCAGCTCCAGGAGGTGCTGGACGGCTTCAGCATGGCCACGGTGCTGGCGTCCCTCAGGTGGGAACTCCCGGTCAGGGGCTGGTTGTTTCTGCTTTTATTTATCCTAAAAACGTGGGTTGAGGCCTCGTTATGGGTGAGGCGCTGTGCTAGGCATTAGAGATATGGGAATAAGACAAAGTTTGTGACTCATGGGACTTCCCTGTGGCAGCTGAGGGATCAAGGGATGAGACAGAATAATTCAGTTATTGTACGTTCAGCAAAGGGACAGTTAAAGTGCTGCAAGTGGTCTCCCTGTAGAGCAGGTAACTTGGGGAGGCCTCTGAGGGGACGAGCTTTGGTCTGATGCTGACAGGTAAGGTGGGGTAGTGATGGTGGCTCAGGATTGTTCGTAAAAGCAGTCAGTCTTAGAGAGCGACTCTAGAAAGGAAGAGGTTGATGGAAGAGAGCCACGGATTCCTGGGTTTGCAGAGCCACGTGGAGGCAGGCAGGGCCAGGGCTGCCTCCTCCGTGTGGACCAGAGTCGGTTCAGGCTGTGTACACCCATCTCCATGCACCCCTCTCATCTCCCCATCGGCTTCATTCACTTGTCAGATTCTCACTTGTGTCCCCTGAGTGCTATGCCCTGTGCTGCTGCTAGGAACCAGGGGCGCAAAGATGAGCTCAGGAGCCTCGCTGTCCTGGGGAGATGGAACGGCCTTCTTCGGGGCAAGGAAACCCCGACCCCTCCCTGTAACCGCAGCTTCCTGCGGTCAGTGAGGTGCGGGCATCTCAGCTTAGGCCGTGCTCCTGCCGAGCTCTGGGCCCCAGCTGTGACAGATAGTTTTCTTTCTTTTATTCTGTCTCACCAGTGGGACTTGGGTTCCTTTGGGACAAGGGCGAGATCTGGTTCTTCCTGGGCCACAGACTAGGCTTCCCCTTTCGATTCTGAAATGAATCATGGGCTCCCTGGTGACCCATGTGTCCCCACCCTGGGAGTAGCTGCTACCTTTTGCTGGCTGGGGTCTGTGGGTTCACAGAGCTGGGCCTTGGAGCCAGCGTTGGCCCCTGAGCAGGGAGGGTCTGCTTTAGCCAACTCCCTTCTGCAGTGATGATGAGGGTGAGGATGAAGATGAGGAGGAGGAGGAGGAGGAAGAGGAGGAAGAAGGAGAAGATGAGGAGGAGGAGGAAGAAGATGAAGAAGAGGAGGAGGAGGAAGAGGAGGAGGAAGAAGAGCCACAGCAGCAAGAGCAAGGAGAGGAGTCACCCACACCATCAAGGAAGATTCCGGACCCTACCAGTGGAGTGAGTTCCTTGTTTCCCAGGACCAGAGCCCTGGTCCCCTGAACATGTGCTCTTAAGACATCTTCAAGGGGGTGGTACGTGTGGATGCCACTTAAGCATAGTGGGCACAAACTTTTTTTTAACTTTTTATTAAGATTATGATAGTTGACAACCTTGTGAAATTTCAGTTGTACATTATTGTTTGTCAGTCATGTTGTAGGTGCACCACTTCACCCTTTGTGCCCTCCCCCCACCCCCCCTTTCCCCTGGTAACCACCAATCAGTTCTCTTTGTCTATATGTTAACCTCCACCTATGAGTGGAGTCATACAGAGTTCGTCTTTCTCTCTCTGGCCTATTTCACTTAACATAATACCCTCAAGGTCCATCCGTGTTGTTGTGAATGGGACGATTTTATCCTTTTTTATGGCCGAGTAGTATTCCATTGTATATATATACCATATCTTCTTTATCCAGTCATCAGTTGATGGGCACGTAGGTTGCTTCCACGTCTTGGCTATTGTAAATAATGCTGCAATGAACATAGGGGTGCATGGGACTTTTGGAATTGCTGATTTCAGGTTCTTAGAATAGATACCCAGTAGTGGGATGACTGGGTCGTATGGTAGTTCTATTTTTAATTTTTTGAGGAATCTCCATACTGTTTTCCATAGTGGCTGCACCAGTTTGCATTCCCACCAACAGTGTATGAGGGTTCCCTCTTCTCCACAACCTCTCCAACATTTGTCACTTTTTGTTTTGGTTATTTTTGCTGACAGGTATAAGGTGATATCTTAGTGTAGTTTTGATTTGCATTTCCCTGATGATTAGTGATGATGAGCATCTTTTCATGTGTCTATTGGCCATCCATAGACCTTCTTTGAAGAAATGTCTCTTCATGTCCCCTGCCCAGTTTTTGATTGGGTTGTTTGATTTTTTGTTGTTGAGCTGTGTGAGTTCTTTATATATCATGGAGATTAACCCTTTGTCAGATATATAACTTGTAAATATTTTTTCCCAATTAATGGGTTGTTTTTTTGTTTCAATCCTGTTTTCCCTTGCCTTTAAGAAGCTCTTTAGTCTGATGAAGTCCCATTTGTTTATTCTTTCTATTGTTTCCCTTGTCTGAGAAGACATGGTGTCCGAAAAGATCCTTTTGATACTGATGTCAAAGGGTGCACTGCCTATATTTTCTTCTAGAAGCCTTATGGTTCTAGAAGGACCATAATCTTTAGGTCTTTGATCCATTTTGAGTTTATTTTTGTGAATGGTGAAAAAGAATGGTCAATTTTCATTCTTTTACATGTGGCTGTCCAGTTTTCCCAGCACATTTGTTGAAGAGACTTTCTTTTCTCCACTGTATGCCCTTAGCTCCTTTGTCGAAGATTAGCTGTCCATAGATGTGTGGTTTTATTTCTGGGCTTTCAATTCTGTTCCATTGATCTGTCCATCTGTTTTTCTACCAGTACCATGCTGTTTTGATTACTGTAGCTTTGTAGTATGTTTTGAAGGATTATGATGCCTCCAGGTTTGTTGTTTTTTCTCAGGATTGCTTTGGCAGTTCGGGGTCTTTTGTTGCCGTATAAGAATTTCAGGATCCTTTGTTCTATTTTTGTAAAGAATGTCATTGGGATTCTGATTGGGATGGTGTTGAATCTGTAGATTGCTTTAGGTAGTATGGACATTTTAACTATGTGTATTCTTCCAGTCCATGTGCACGAAATGTCTTTCCATCTCTTTATGGTCATCATCAGTTTCTTTCAGGAAAGTTTTGTAGTTTTCGTTGTATAGGTCTTTCACTTCCTTGGTTAAATTTACCCCAAGGTATTTTATTCTTTTTGTTGCAATTGTGAATGGGATTGTGTTCTTGAGTTCTTTTTCTGTTAGTTCATTGTTTGAGTATAGAAATGCTACTGATTTACGTATGTTGATTTTATACCCTGCAACTTTGCTGTAGCTGTTGATTGTTTCTAATAGTTTTCTAATGGATTCTTTGGGGTTTTCTATGTATAAGATCATGTCGTCTGCAAATAGCGAGAGTTTCACTTCTTCATTGCCTATTTGGATTCCTTTTATTTCTTTTCTCTGCTGAATTGCTCTGGCCAAAACCTCCAGTACTGTGTCGAATAAGAGTGGTGAGAGTGGACACCCTTGGTCTTGTTCCTGTTCTCAGAAGGATGGCTTTCAATTTTTGCCCATTGAGTATGATGTTAGCTATGGGTTTGTCATATATGGCCTTTATTATGTTGAGGTACTTTCCTTCTATACCCATTTTATTGAGAGTTTTTATCATAAACAGGTGTTGGATCTTGTCGAATGCTTTCTCTGCATCTATTGAGATGATCATGTGGTTTTTGTTTCTCATTTTGTGGATGTGGTGTATCACGTTGATTCACTTGCGGATGTTGAACCATCCCTGTGTCCCTGGTATGAATCCCACTTGATCGTGGTGTATGATCTTTTTAATGTATTGCTGTATTCGGTTTGCCAAAATTTTGTTGAGGATTTTTGCATCTATGTTCATCAGTGATATTGGGCTGTAGTTTTCCTTCTTTGTGTTGTCCTTGTCAGGTTTTGGGATCAGGGTGATGTTGGCTTCGGCACAAACTATTTTTGATTGCATGCTCCTATGAGTGAAAAAGAAAATCATCCCAATGTATTTATATTTGTATTTAAATCAGCATAGATGTGTTTATTCATTTATAAATTGCAACATGAGTGTAACATATAATGCTGCATTGTGTATATTATAAAACATATGTAAGTATTTCTAAAAGAATAGAGTAAAAAAAATAAGCATAAGTAGAAATTATTTTTCCTACCCATCTTGGTGACTGGTAGAGACAGCCCCCCGTTGCAGAGACTGGCTGGGACCGTGTCCCAGCTTGGACACTTGATGTCCCTTGAGTGGCCAGGAGGCTGATGGAGTAGTCAGGGCTGCCTTGTCTGTTCCTCATAGGTTCCCGAATAAAGCTTCTGGAGAACTTTGGGTTGGACAAGGACCCCCACACTGATGTTGAATTTGGCTTCTTTTCCGGTTTTCTAGAAGCAGTTCAATAAATAGCTAGATGGTGGTAGTTTTTCTGTAGGCATCTCCGGTGCTCACCAGCAGTGCTTATCCAGGTTGAATCAGTTCCTCGTGGGGTCCGCTTTAGCCCTACGTGCCTCTTGAGTCGTTTTGGGGCAGTGCGTGTCCTGGCGAGGATCCACTTGCCACGCCAGGCTCTCGGAGTCTCAGGCAGATGGCTCGCCCCCACCCCAAAGGCTCCTGTCCTAGCAGCCAGCCAGGGCCAGCACCTGTGGGCCCTCCACCCCATGGGGAACTGAGTAGGAAGAAGAATTCTAGACTCTGAGCCTTGACTGACTAGAGTGAAGGGCGCGTGTTCTGGGTGAGGAGTCTGGGTTTGGACCTCTACAAAGCTACCTGTGCCGCCCGTCCCTTAGGAACCAGCTCCCGTGCTGTCCTCCCCACCTCCCGCAGACGTCTCCACCTTCTTGGCTTTCCCCTCTCCGGAGAAACTGCTGCGCCTCGGGCCCAAGAGTTCTGCGCTCATAGCCCAACAGGTAACAGCGTTTCTGACTCCAAACCTGCCTGCGCCGTGGCTGCTGGAGCTGCCAGAGCAAAGGGACAAGCAGCGTGGAATTGGGAGGGGACGCTGTCAGCTTAGGGTGCAGGGGCGCTGCCAGGTGGCTTTTTTCTAATATGTAGACGTGTAAATGAGTGTGACCATGCTGTCCATCTCTGGTTGCGGATGGCTGCACCCACTGCGAACACGCTTGGGCTGCGAGGAAGGGCAGACCTGCTGCCTTGTGACGCCTGGAATGGAGAAGTTTTCCCGGGACTCTCCTGTGCACACACGCACCCAGGCTTTCCTCTGCACGTCCTGTAGGTCCAGCTGCATCTAGGATAGCCATCCTGCCCAGGGCCCCTGTGGAGGTCACATGCTCACGTACTCTTGCCCCAGCCTCACTTGTTTGTTCATTCATTCATTCCCTCATTCAGTCTGAGATGATTCTCAAGCTTGTTGAGCACCTCTTGTCTGCTGGGCACTATTCTGAGTACTTGGGCATGCTTTTTTTGTTGTTGTTTTTTGCTGAGGAAGATTCACCCTGAGCTAACATCCCTGAAAATCTCCCTCTATTTTTTTAGTATATGGGCCTCCAGCACAGCATGGCCACTAACAGAGCGGTGTGGGTCCACACCCAGGAACTGAACCCAGGCCGCCGAAGCAGAGTGTGCTGAGCTTAACCAGTAGGCCATGAGGGCTGTCTCTGGGCATGATTTTATTTAACCCTCTTGGCAACCCGACATGTAGACATGTTGCTCTCATTTTCCAGATGAGAAAACTGAAGCTCAAAGAGGTTAAATGGTAAATACAGAGAACTAAAACAGGCTGCTCCCAGAGCTGGCTCCGTGGTGGCCAGTTTCCTTTATGTTTATCTGTACTTTCTTTTCATGATAAATGAGGTTATCTGATACAAACTGTTAGTGGTCCAGCTTTTCATTTAATACCGTTTTTGGGGGCTGGCCTGGTGGCACAGTGGTTAAGTTTGTGTGCTCCACTTCAGCGGCCTGGGGTTCATGGGTTTGGATCCTGGGCGTGGACCTACGCACCACTCATCAAGCCATGCTGTGGCAGCATCCCACAAACAAAATAAAAGAAGATTGGCACAGATGTTAGCTCAGTGACAATCTTTCTCAACCAAAAAGAGGAATATTGGCGACAGGTAGTAGCTCAGGGCCAGTCTTCCTCACTAAAAAACAAACAAAAAACCGTTTTTTGTTTTCTTCTGTCAGTAAAACTCTTTTCATGCCCTTTACCCCCAGAGTGGACGTAGCACTTAAGCAAGCCACTGTTTCTGGACATTCACATTGTTTCCACTTTTGTCTGTGAAGTGAAGTTGAGGTAAACTTCCTTACATTCTGGATTATTTCCTCAGGTTAGATTACACGAAAGCTCACTGGGTCACAGAGAGAATGGTTTGTAGCGCTTCTTCACTCGCGCTCTCTGTCCTGCACACCTCCTGTGGGCCAGGCCCGGGCCAGGCTCTGAGGGGACAGCATGGGGCGAGGCAGGACCTGTCCTTGCCCACCAGAGGCCTATGTCTTGCCAAGGCCTATCTCCACCGTGTGCCAAAGCCCTAGTGGCCTGGCCTCTGGTGACCAGCCATTGTCTCCTGTGTCCTCAGACTGACACATCTGACCCGGAGAAAGTGGTCTCCGCCTTCCTGAAGGTGTCCTCTGTGTTCAAGGACGAAGCCAGCGTGAGGACGGCAGTGCAGGAGGCAGTAGGTAACATGGGGAGGGTGGGGCTTGGATGCCTCCTGCTGTAGGGCCGGAGGACATTTGTGGTGGCCGGAGCCCCTCTGTTCCTGTGCTGAAGTGTGGACTGCTCTCCGGCCCCTCCTACCTGTTCTTTTGCTGGGTTCTTGCCATAGGCAGGCTGGCTGTTCTCTGTTTTTTGTAGATGAGGAAACTGAGGCCTTTCCCAGAGCCGTACAGCTCTGTACAGTTAGAGCCCAGGCCGGGTGGCATCCGGCACAGCAAGACCAGACGGCCACAGCCCCCAGGCCTCCGTGAAGGTGGTCCTCTCAGGGAGGCAGGAGGATGAGAGCTGAGCCTTTGTCCCCACCTCTGAGCCTCTGCGCACGTGGTCCTCTCCACCTGGCAGTCCCTGCAGTGATGCCTGCCTTCCCCGTATCTTTCCTGAGGCTCCCCAGGGTCTCTGTTCCACCTCCCCCAAGCCCTGTCACCTCCCTCTCTCACCACCCCATTCTCTCAGTTACCTCCATTATAGCACCTGCCACCTTGTGTGGGCCAGGTGTGGCTGGGTAGAGAGAGGAGGACGGGCCCTGCAGGTGAGGGCACAGCACGTGGAAAAAGGGAGAAAGGAGTGGGAACGCATGTGATGCTTTCTCCTGCATTGGAGCACTGTGGGCAGCATTGAGGGTAGGCCGGTGAGGGCCCGGTGGGAGTCTCCAGGTCTGCTCCCTGAGATCCAGCCCTGGGGGCATTTGTGGTAACAAGTTACGTGAATTCTGTTCCCCAGAAGTGCCCAGCACAGAAGCGAGTGCCCTCGGCAGTCCTGCAGGCCCTTGGCCGCTCCTCCTTCCCTTCCCCATTCATTCCCCCTCGCCTCTTAAATGGCAGAAACCTGCCCCAGGGTGATCCGCCTCGCTCGGTCTCCGCCCCAGCTGTGTGAGGTCCCTGTTTTAATGTGTGAGGCCGGACAGGGAAGGGACCAAGGCATCCCAGCCGGTAGGTCGAGCCCTTCCCTGGTGCTAACGTCTCCTCAGTCTGGTATCTCTGCCCACGTCCTCCCTCCTGTGTTCATCTCCTGATGAGGGCAGGAGCAGGACCCAGCCTGTGTGCAGGGGCTGCGTGCCCCTTGGCCTGTGACCAGCCCTTTGTCACAGCAAGCACCCTGCTCCATGCTCCTTCTGCCTTGCAGATGCCTTGATGAAGAAGGCCTTCAGCTCATCCTCCTTCAACTCCAACGCCTTCCTCACCAGGCTCCTCATCCACATGGGTCTGCTCAAGGTGCGGCCAGAAGGAAGGGAGGGAGGGAGTGCACCAGAGGTTGCTCTGGCCACACCCACTAGCCCCGTCCCACACCTCAAGTCCTCTCCGGGCCCGTCACCCACGCTGTCCCTGGGCCTAGGTCTGCTTAAGCAGCCTCGGTCTTCATGAAGGAATTCAGCTTGACCTTGACTGTGGAGCTCTCTCGGCAGGAGCGGAATGGTAGAGACCTAGGCCCCCCAGGTAACCTCGAAGCTCACCCTGCCTTCTGCGCTGTGTGTTCCCCTTGCAGAGTGAAGACAAGATCAAGGCCATTGCCAACTTGTATGGCCCGCTGATGGCGCTGAACCACATGGTGCAGCAAGACTACTTCCCCAAGGCCCTTGCACCCCTGCTGCTGGCATTCGTGACCAAGTGAGTGTGCCCTCATCAGCTCACGTGGCGGCTGCCTGCACACGCAGGCCCCTGCTCAGCTGAGGCTTCCCTGGCCTGGTCACTCGGGCTTGTCAGAGGCCCTCACGCCTCCTGGGCTCTCGGCATCTGTGTTTGGGTCTCACCACCCCTCTGAGGCCTCCTCCCCTGTGCCCAGCTGAGGACACGGGGCTCAGGGACAGTGTCTTCCCATGAGAGAGACAGAGGACTTGTAACGGCCCCCGTTTCCCAGAGGAGGAACTGACTTTCCAGGTTAGTTAAGGCGTTTGCCCTCGGTCACGCTGCTGATGGAGTCTTGCGCTCAGTGATGTCTCTGGGAGCAGTTCTCTGACCATTCCCTCAGCAACCTAGACCAAAGGACCCTGGGCACGTCAGCCTTCTGCAGCGACAGGCCCTCCTCTGGGGACGCTAAATGTTCAGAGACATGGAGACCTTGGCCTTGTTCTGGAGGGTCCTGGGCCATGGTGGGGCAGTGGCCGCAGTTGTGCAACGAGGAGCCTCTAGACCCTGGCCCACCAACGATGGGCTGGGAGGCTCGTCTCCTGTTCTCATTGAGGCCCTGTGTGGCCCCCCAGCCAGCCTCTGGCCTTTCTCAGGCCTCAGTCTCCCCATTTGCCCAACAGAGTGAGTATGTAGTGACATGCATGTCCCTCTTCCCTCAACTCCTGGCCAAATGGTCTGGGATCCCAAGGCCAGCCTGGACCAGGTGAGGTGTCCATGGGCTGTGGGTCCTGGCTGTGCCCCACACTCGCCCATGCCCCCAGGTGTCTTGCCTCAGTTTCTTTCTCTTCATTGAGACCAATGATCTTGATGATTACAATGGCCAGCCCATTACTTGTGAGCGCCCACGTGGGACTCCAGTGGCCCAGTCTTACTTGTCCACTAGTGGCTGCTGAGAGCTCCCTGACCCTATGTCCACTGGAAGGGCCCTTGGAGAAGCTGTCTGGTGGAGAGCAGAGGCTCAGATTCCTGACTGGGCAGGCCTGCATTCCGGCCAGCTCTGGGCCATGCGGCCTTGGGAGCATTGCCCACCTCTCTGAGCCTCACTCACTCCCCACCCCTGATATGCAGAAGTTGGAGTCTAACATCTCCTTTGCCAAAGTCATTGTGAAATTCACAAAACTTGAGTCTGGCACATTTGTAGCCTCAAAAATGGCCCCCACTCCCTCTTCACAGTTGGAAATGGGCCCTGCTGCAGCTTGAGCTCCCCAGGCCCCTGCCGTGTGTGCCCTGCCCACTGACCCTTCTTTCCCCACAGGCCCAATGGCGCCCTGGAATCCTGCTCCTTTGCCCGCCACAATCTGCTGCAGACGTTGTACAAGGTCTAGACGCGAAGCGGCCTCCCCCGTCCCTTGGCCTGGACCAGTGACTTGGGAAGGGACTCGGATGAAGGACTCTGGCCGTAGGCAGGGAGGGTCTTTGTCATGTCAGTCCCCCGAGGATGTATGTTGGTGTGGTGCTCGTGCAGGTGTGTGCTTCATGTCGGGGTTTGAGTTTTTAATGTCTCTGCTGGACTGGCCCTGGTCTCGCTGGAGGGGAGCTGGCCCCCTGGCGGGAGGGCTGTGAGCTGCTCTGCCATTAAACTCACCACCACCTGAGGGCTCCCCGCTGTTCTGTGCCTCAGGCTCCAGGCCCTGGTGGCTGTCCCCACCCACCTTGCCTGCCCTACCCTCCTGGGCTGCCCCAGGGCCTGGGTAGCAGTTGTCCGTGTGCTGTTCTCTCCCCCCGTGTTGTGGCTGGGCTGTGTTTCCTGCCCCACCTGGGGCCACTCACTCGGTGGCTTGCTTCCTTTCCCCAAGCCCTGGTCCTGCAGCCACTGCTGTCCTCTCTGTCCCCACCATCCATCTCTGCTATGCTGACCCCTAAGCCTGAGGGTCAGAGACTGCCGCAGGTGGGGCCATGGAGTGTTCAGCCGAGGGCAAGACCCTGGCACCCACACCACATGGACAGAAAGAGAAGCCAGTGGGCAGACACCAAAGGGTCTTGGAGCTGGAGTTGCCTGCCCGGTGCTGGCTCTGGATGCAGAGGGGCCCTCCTCTGGCTGCTGAGGAGACGTCTGTGACTGGTCTGGCGGCCGAGCTGGAGGAGGCACCTTGGCAGGTCCAAACCTGTTCTCCAGCCTGGGGGCGGGGCAGGGCCCACTGGTGCCTGAGCTGCATCTCGGGCGCTCTTACAGGACCTGGGCAGGGGCAGGTGGGGACTGGGCTGGACTGCAGGTGCCCCGCCACGCCCTGCGCGTTCCCCCTTGTGCTCTTTGTGCGTCTGGGCTGTGCCCAGGGCTTCACAAATAAAGTTGTGTGTGGCAGCAGCGAAGACTGAGAAACCTTTCACCTTAAAGTGGGCCGTTCTCATACCCAAAGTCCCACCTCAGGCCGGACACAGTGGCCCAGCCCCAGTCTGTGAGGGGCGGTCCATCTTGCAGAAGAGCCCCTGTGCCACCCTTACCTCATCACCAGGGGCGGGCCTCTCCTCCCAGGCCCTGACGCTTCCTCTGTGTGGGCATGCCTGCTCCCCTCTCACAGCTGGGCGGGTGATGCCCAGAGGTCAGGTAGGGTGGTGGGATCTCGCTCCCTGGGCTCTTGAGGTCCTGAGTTGGGGCCTGTGTGACCGGCCTGGCCCCACCTCACCATGCTTTATGCAGCCTTGGGCTGTGTTTCCGCTGGCCTGCATTGTTCCGTTTATGGACCTGGGTCTGGCTACCGAGCTCACATCACCGGGTTGGGCTTGGCTGGGAAGTCACCCCAGGACATGTGGCCATAGGGCCTCCAGCAGAGGGTACCTCCCTTGGAGTCTTTCCCTCACAGTGCCACCCATAGTATTAGGACAGCCCAGCAGACCCTCCTTCCTGCCTCCCCGGGACAGCAGGCACATGTCGGGAGCCTGCGTCTCCCACAGGAACGAAGAGGTCCCTCCAAGGTTTCTTAGAGGGCAGCGTTTCCTTACTGGCTGTGGACCTCTTGGGCGACATCTTTCTTGGTCAGGTGGCGGAGGAGATGCCTCACCTTCCTCCCCATACAAGGTGATGTGGCAGGAGGCAGGTGGAGGTTTGACCAACTCCAACCCCTAGTCTCCTTGCCAGCCCTGTTCTGAGCTCTGGGGCCAGAGGTGCTGCCTTTGGGGAGCCCCCAGTCTGGTGCAGACCCACAGTCATGGCCCAATGTGAGCAGCGAGGTCAGGAAGGCCATCAGGATTTAGGGATACAGGACCTGGGTCTTGAAGTTCAAATAGGACTTCTCACCAGTGATATTTGACAGATGGACACACTGAGGCTCAGGCCTGAGTAGGGTCCTGTGCAAGGTTCTCTGGCCTGCCTGTTCTTTCCCTCCAGGCTGCCTGGGCTGGCCTTTGCTCCCTCCCAGGTAATACCCGTGCAAGCTTCAGTTCAGACTGAGGGGAGAACCATAGCTCCCACTTAACCTCATGACGGGCTAGCAGTGCCCGGCTCCTCGAACCCGCATGCCGAGGAGGATCCTGTTGGTCCCAAGAGTTCAGGCTTCTGACTGCCCAGCCCCACTCAGTCCTTCAGACCAGCTCAGAGGTCAGGATGCCTGACCAGGTCCAGGTGCAAGGCAAGGTCCAGCGGCTCTAACCTGCCACTTACTGAGACACCTGCAGCCTTTGCAGTTTCCCCCCAGACTCAAGTGCTCCTAACTGCAGCCAGCCCTGAGATGATCCAGGCTCCAGGTCCCTGAGCACCGTGATTTGGGGTCTGTAAGATCATAGTTGCCTCAGCCAGGGCAGCCTGGGCCCCCCGACATGTGAAGGGCCTGCTCAGCACCAGGCTGTTCCCACTAAAGGGAGCTCCACCACAACTTAGCTAAACCAGCGGTTCCGCTCAGAAGTCAGACTAGAAAACCCCCAGCAGCGTGGTTGTGGGTGCTCCTAGCAGCACTTCCTGCTAGCAAGAAGGTAGAAACGTTCAGAGGCCAAGACCAGGAAAACAGATCAAGTGCGAAGCCACGCAGTGTAACATTACACAGCAGCGCAAACGTGTCAGCCAGGGCTGTGTGTGTCCAGCGCGCACCGTGGATGAATCAATAGTGGTGTCCAGTGAAGAAAATCTCGCAGTGCGGTGCCATTCGTTCAAAAGCACGTCAACTAAACGTGTTGAAGCACACGTATGTATGTGGTAAGCGGTGTGCAGGGTGGAGTCTGTCTAGGGAAGGCAGGGCACAGGGCGGGGTGGAAGCAGCAAGCATTCGAAGTGATCGGAGTCCAGCCATCAAGAGCCACGTTGTTAAAAAGAGGAAATGAAATGCAGGACAGCATTTTTGACATTAAAAGCACAAGCTATAAGGAAATTTGCCTGTGTCAAAAAGTGACAGTGACCAAGAAATACCATAAAAGTGAAGACAGGGTGATGGAGTAGAAAGAGACATTGCAGCACCGACGGCATGAAGGGTTAGCGTTGAGAACGTCCCTCCAAATGAAGGCCAGGCGAAGGATGGGAGCAGCAGGTCTCGGGAGAAGACACGAGGAAAGCAAACCCAGAAAGCGTTCAGCTCGCTGGCAGTCAGGGAAAGAGTCATAAAGCCACGCAGATAGCACTTCAGACCACACTAGCAAATGTCATTAAGAGAGGTGACACCAGGAAAGACCTGGATCTGTTGTTACATGGTGTGCTCAGTGCAGGGCTGGAGGGATGTCAAACCAATAAAGCCCCTTTAGAGAGCAGTTTGGCACATACTGAAAAAGTGAAAACGCCTGTAACCTGCAACCCCCAAATCCCATTTCTGAGGATCCACTTTAGAGAAACCGTTGTCCACGTGCACGAAGAGACAAGTACAAGGGCAGCTTAATGAGGGATACCAGGAAATTAAGAAATAACCTGTGTCCATCGGTAGAAGAATGATTAAATTATGGCATGTGTATGCAGTGAGAGAAGATGCAGAAGCTACTTGCATCCACAGGAATAAATCTTGAAAACAAGTTTGCAAAAAAAAATGTGGTTTAATACACTAGAGAAACTTAATGCCATATATATACATACTACTTCATGAAAGTGGTGGCCTCTGGATAGAGAGGGAGGGAGAGAGTGAGCGGGTGGAGAAACCAAGGGGCTTCAACTGACTGTGATCCCCCTTCTGGGTGTGTACCTGAAAGAAGTGACAGCAGGGTCTCCAGCAGATAGTCGTACACCCGTGTTCACAGCAGCAATACAATAGCCTAGAGGTGGCAAAAAACCAAGTGTCGATGAGCAGATGAATGGATAAATTGTGCTATATGTTTGCAATGGAATATTATTCAGCCATAAAAAGGAGTGAAATTATGACACATACTGCATAAATGAGCCTTGAAACATTATGCTTAGTGAAATAAGCCAGACGTGAAAGGACAAATCGTGTATGATTCCAGTCACGTGAGGTATCCAGAATAGGCAAATTCATAGAAAGCAGAAGGGAGGTTTGGGACCAGCCCAGTGGCGCAGCAGTTAAGTTCACACGTTCTGCTTCTCAGCAGCCCAAGGTTTGCCAGTTCGGATCCCCAGTGCGGACATGGCACCACTTGGCAAAAGCCATGCTGTGGTAGGTGTCCCATGTATAAAGTAGAGTAAGATGGGCATGTATGTTAGCTCAGGGCCAGTCTTCCAAAAAGAGGAAGATTGGCAGTAGTTAGCTCAGGGCTAATCTTCCTCAAAAAAAAAAAAAAAGGTTACCAGGAGCTGCAGGGAGGGAGGAATGGGGAGTCAGTGTCTAATGGGTACAGAGTCTCTGTTCAGGATGATGGAAAAGTTCTGGGAATGGATAGTGGTGATAGCTGCATAGTGTTGTGAATGTACTTAATGCCACTGAATTGTGCACTTAAACATGGTTAAAATGGTAAGTTTTATATATATTTTACCACAATAAAAGAATCCTCAATGTAAAAGACAAAACTAGATATTTGGGAATACAGTGTAGATGAGTATCTTCAAGACCTTGGGAGTAAGGAAAAGAGTGAATTAAGCTCCTTGTTTTACCATTATTGTGGAGTATTCATTGTAGGGTAATGTATGCTATGTAGCACTGAGAACAGGTTTCTGTTTATTGAGGCATCATTAAGGGAGTAAAAAGGCAAGTTGCAGAGAGGGAGAATATAATTGCAATATATTTTAAAATAACTCATTCAGGGGGCCGGCCCCGTGGTCGAGTGGTTAAGTCCGAGTGCTCCGCTTTGGCGGCCCAGGGTTTCGCTGGTTTGGATCCTGGGCGCGGACCTAGCACCGCTCATCAAGCCATGCTGAGGCCATATGCCATAACTAGAAGGACCCACAACTAAAATACACAACTATGTATTGGGGGTTTTGGGGAGAAGGAGGAAAAAAAATTAACTCATTCAGAATATGTAAAGAGCTACAAATTAATAAAGACAATAGAAGAACAAGCAAAAGGCTCAAATGGGCACTTCACAGAACACATGAAAAGGGGCTTAATGTCATTAGTAGTCTTCACAGAAATGCATATTAATATTAAAACCACCCTATGTTACCATCGTACCCTCACAAGAATGGCTGAAGTACAAGAGACAGACAACACTAAGCATTGGTGGGAATGTGGAGCAACTGGAACTCACGCACTGCTGGCGAGCGTGTAAACTGGCCCAACCACCTCGAGGATCTCTGTGGCGGTGTCCAGTGAAGCTGCAAGTAAGCATATGCTGAGACCAGCACTCCCACCCCTGGGTGTGTCACTGCAGAAATGGTGGTGGTGTGTCACCAAGAGGCACGTGCAGGCATGGTAATCAGCACTCTTCACAGTAGCCGCACTCTGGAAACCACCCAAATGTCCGTCAGGAGTGGGACAGATAGATTAACTGTGGTGCAGTGAGGCACCAAGAAGGCGGAGGTGGGAATGCTCCACCCAAGCGGGGAGGGACACTTTAGCATTGCCAGTGCGTGATGACAAAAGCAGGCCAACTCTCAGTCGCTTCCATTGTCTTTAAATCCCCTGCCGAGGGAACACTCCCTTAGTGCCTGCATCTGAGGCAAATCGCTCTCTCGCCTCTGCCCTGTGCCACTGTTGTGGGATAGTTAAAGAATGGAATGCTGGAATGCTACATAAAAATGAAAATGAACAAATTTAAACAATACGCATCATGAATGAATCTCACACACATAATCTTGAGTGAAAAAGCCAGACATAAGAGTACACGCTGTGGTCCCATTGATACGGAATTTGCTGAGTGAAATAAAGCACACGGACAAGTCTCTGTGTGGTGTGTTATAAAAACAAACTGAATAACAAAAGATAGAATCCATCAGAAACACAGATCTGAACAATTATAGGAGACGTAAGTGTCTGCTATGGTCTAGATGAATTATTTCATTTTAAAAA